AGACAGGGACCTGGCTGGACTCGCACAGCCCAGCTGCAGCCCCTGATCCGGCCTGTTATCTCCGACCCTCCACCTGGGGACACACCCTCAGTGTCCCCTGGCTTCCTACACTCTCCTCCCCATCTCTGTGGCTCTGGCCCCTACGGTGACAGCTGTCAGGGCTGCCTGCTCTGCTCCCTGGCCCAGACCTTGGGCTCCACGCCACCCCAGGGACATCAGCCTCCTAACAAGGAAGGAAGCTGTCCCTGTGCAGGCACGAGGCCAACCTGGGTGTGACTGCCATCTCCGAACTGTCCCAGGACAAGCGATTAGGCAGCTCAGAGCTTCTAGAGAGTGACGAGGGCCCTGGAGGCCAGGAGGGGCCAGATCCGCTCCCCGGGCTTCAGGGGTGGGAAGACCAGCCTCGTCAGGGGCCTAGAACAGAGTGACCAAGCCCCAGTGCCCCCCAATCATGGTCCAGGCAGGCTTACTTCCAACTTCGGGCTCACTGTCCAGTGTCCACGGGGTACCATAGGCTCCTGACCAAGGCCAGCAGGTCCACCTGATGCTCAGCAGAAGGTGGGCCACACTTCAGGAGTCTGAGGTGACAGATGTCACACACAGAACTCTGACTTCACCCAGCCTTGACACCTGGCCCCCACCTCCCGGCTGTGCACCTCCAGGGAAGTCGGGGACCCTCTCTGTGACTCTGTGACTCTGACCTCTAGGGACAGGGACAGGAGGTGCTGTGGTCTTCTGAGGCTGGCTTGAGTGGCGATGCATTGCACCCCCCTTTGCTCTCTGCTCTGCAGGCCTGGAGAGGCCCCTGGCGGCAGCTGTGGGGGGGGGCCCTGGGATTTCCTCCCCCTGCAGGACCCTGGGCTGTCCCAAGAAGGTGGCTTCCTTATGGTGGCCTTGGCAGGTTGACACTGCATCTCAGGGACTCAGTGCTGCCCCCTTGGCCTCTGCCCCATGTCACCCCCTGTCACTGAGTCCTGCTAGGGACGTCTGTTATACCAGACGCCAGGCCTCAGCCTGGGACCTCCTGAGTCAGCAGGTGTGGGGGGACGGGAGTCTCTGTCCCCAAGCCCCAGGCGGGGACAGGTTTGACAGCTACCCATCTACGGTGCTTCTCCAACCCCCTGTTTCTCCTTTTTGAAGGGTCTATCACGAGACCCTTCAACTGGACTCCCCGACAGAAGTCCAGGTGTAACCGAGAAGCGGGGGGCTTCTGGCTGGAGGTGGCCTGCAGTAGCAGCCGTGGCCACAGTGAAGGTCCCCTTGGGGTTCCACGGAACCCAGTTTGCAAACTTCCTAACGACTCCACTCTCTTCCTCTTTGGGGTTGAGAAACGGAGCCCCACAGAGTTGCCTGCTTAAGGCTGGTGTCCCGTCCTGCTGGAGAGACTCTCTGGAGCTCTCTGTGGACGTGCTGGCCCTGAGGGCAACTTGGGACCGTGGTTGGTCTCCAGACAGCGGGGGTGAGCCTGGTGTTGCCTCTTCCTGGCTGTGTGACCTTGGACAAGGAGTCACCTCTCTGTGCTTGGTCTGTTCCTCTGTGTTGTTGGGAGGGGAGAGGGGCAGGCCTCAGCACTGCCCGCCTGGTCTGGCCTTGGCCTTGGGCACATCTCCTCATAAGGACTCCACTCCCGGGGGCTGGGGGCGGGGTTCTGCTTCAGGCCCTGGCACGTGGCTGCCTCCCTCGATCCATAGGTCCCCAGGTAACCACAGCAGGGAGCCCTCTTCTACCTGGATTCTAGAGGGACAGAGACGTCGGGCTGATGGTTTCAGGTCACAGGTCTCAAACTCCCTGTTCCAAGGCAGAGAAGCCCGGTTCTCCTCCACAGCAACCCCAGAGCTGAGCTGGGACCAGGCACAGGGCTCGCAGCCCTGGCACGGCCGTGGGAGGGACCTGAGGCTCACACAACCCAAGGCCCCGATTCCCCCAGGGACAAGTCTTCCATGAGTCACTGCAGGTTCAAGGTACATCATCAAGCTGCTTCCAACTATTCCCCGAAACATCCCGTTAAACCATGTCACAAGCCACGGGACCACAGGTCACAGGGCGGCCCTTTCCGGTCTCTGAAGCTCATGGAGCCTTCACATTTGAGTCTCTGTGAGGGGAGGTGCTACTGACCCATTGACAGCCAAGGACACCAAGGCTTACGGGTCGCAGAACTTGCTGGAAATCGCATGCAGGGTCAGAGCTGGGAGGGACAGCGTGGGCGTGGCCTGGAACCTGCTGGTGGGCTGCAAGGGTCCCTGGATGGGTCCCCAAGGATCGCATGAGGCACATCCTTGTAGCCTGGAAGATTCTGGGGGCGTGGCGTGCAACTTCACGGGCTCCCTTCCTCATGCAAGGAACGGGCACTTACGGGCGACACTCTAGAAAGCAACCAGGGGTTTCCCAACCCTGAAATTCAGGGAGGTGTCGGGCCAGCAGGGCACTTCCTGGGCTCCGACTCTGCCTGGCAGTGTGGCAAGGCTCCCCGGGCACCTGCTGCTGAGCGGAAGTCCCGCTGTGCCCAGGAAGAGTGGGCAGGGGCTCAGCTGCTGCTGCTGTTGCCTAAAGATGAGTGCTCACGGAGGCGAGGGGGGGCCTCCGTGGCTGTGGGGGACAGGGCCACCAGGGCAGAGGGCTGCATATTGGCCCCGCTCCTGGGAATTGGGCCTTAGGATACCATGCGAGTGTGGCTTTGGCCTGAAATCTCCACACCCCGCTGCCACCCTAAACGGACACCCTCACATTTTCTGCAAAGTGACACTTCACAGGTGACAGCCGTGACTTTATAACTTCTACCCTGCAAACCTCTAGGTCGGGTCTGACCTTTTACAAAGTGAATCTGGGAATAGGCGCCCCAGGGAGTCTTGGGGAGGTGGGGGACCAGGGCACGTTGGGGCTCACTCACTCCCAGCTGACACGGCTTCAGGGCCCTTTGTCCCAGGAGTGTGGGGGGTGTCTGATTTGTTAAAGTGAAAGTTTCCCAGAGAGGACTCACAGGTATTTTAAAAGTCACACAGGGCTGTCCCCACGGTGTGGCCCACTCTGCCCTGGCCCCGTGAGACGTGGCGCCGTAGCCTGCACAGTCTGGCCTCAGGCCTGCTGACGGCAGGGGTACAGTCAGACCCCAGGCCTCAGCCCGGGACCCCTGAGTCAGTGGGTGTGGAAGGGCCGGGAGTCTCTGTCCCCAAACCCCAGGAGGGGCCAGGGGACAACTACCCATCTACGGTGGTTCTCAAACCTCCTTTTTCTCTTTTTTGAAGGGTCTATCAGGGGACCCTTCAACTGGACTCCTACGCAGAGTCCAGCGTGGGGCTTCCTTCCGGCTGGAGGTGGTCTGCAGCGTGAGCCACTGCAACACTGAGGACATTCCAAGGGAACCCCTTGGGGTTCCATGGAACACAGTTTGCAAACCTACTATTTACTCTACTCTCTTCCTCTTTGGGGCTGAGAAAACAGGAGCAGCTCCTGGCCACAAGCTCACTGGGGGGCGGGTGGTGAGGGGTGGGAGGGCCTGCGCCCTCAGGACCACAGCTCTGGTGCAGGCACATGGCGTCACCATGCTGCGGCCATCTGGCCAGGGAGAGGAGGGCAGGGCAGGGTGGGCTTTTCTCACTGATTAACAGGCCTGTGGGAGGGTTAACTGAGTTAATCAGGGAGGATGCACAGCACAGAGCCTGGCCTATGGGAAACGCTTAATAAGTGTTAGATATCATTATGGTTGTTACTGTTGTTGGTCACACAGGTTGGAGTCTGCTGGCACAGGTGGGAGAGCCCTCGGAAGAAGCACCGGGGACAGCCCTGCAGGCCACACACTGCGCAACTCAGGGCACCATTCACACAGTAGTCTGGAGAATGGAACCTTCTAGAGTAGTGCAGTGCACAAGCTGGGCAGCTGGACACTGGCCTGGATGCTCTTGACAGCCCTACTCTAGTTCCTGACTAACAGACGTCACTGCGAGCTGGACTGTTTACAGCAAGATCTCTTTGGAGATGGGACATAGCCCAGGGGTAGCCTTCCTGAGCAGGCACAAGGCCCTGGGTTTGATCGCCAGAACTGACAAAAAAGACGCATAAGGGAGGTACAGCGGCTTTTGAGTACAGCTACTGAGATCGGGAGGAGTCGGGAGGCCCTGCTCTGAGAGTCCCGGGATTGCAGGTTGGAACCCAGGGCCCTGGCCAAGCCGTTCCTCTCTGGGCCAAAGTTTCCCGCTGTGTTTCCCACTGGGAGTCGGTGGGTAAGTTTCAGGATTAAACAAGTTTAATCCTCGCATGCCAACTCTGTCTGGGGTGACCACCTGAGGCCTCATAAAGTGGGAAGTCATAGCTTGTGTCTTAGATAGCTGGCACTTTCTCCCAGCCGGAGGGCAGGCGCTAACGCCCATGGGTCTTATTGCGGGAGAAGTTTTTTCCCAGGTGGGAGGCGGAGGTTGGGGGCGTGGCTGTGGTCAGGGTCTGGGTTATCAGGTGGCCCCTTCCTGACACACAGTGGGTCTCAGGGGGGAGACCTGGGGACCTCATGGGGCTCAGAAAGCCGGGTGCACTCTGGAAGTCCCGTGGCCTCTTACTTGTCCTGAAGCTACTCTCTGTCCCCAGGGAGGGGGGACCTGGGATGGGGCAGAGGCCCGCTGGGGCCGGCAGCAAGTAACATGCCCCAGGGTCGCAGGCCCCCCTCTGGGCCTCCGGAAGGCTCCGTCTCTGGGCCCGGGATGGGAGGAAGCAGATGAAAGCTGAGGGTGCTGGGCTCGGAGGTGCTGCTCAGGACCACGGGGCGGCCTGGGTGCCCACCGCTCCTCCAAGTTACAGGCGGGCGGCAAGGCAAGGTGTCTCTGGGAGGCCACCCCGGCTCGGCCCGTCCGCGGGCCCAGAGTCCAGCCAGCTTTCCTCGGCCCCTCCCCGTCCCCCGTGGGGACCCAGCCCTGGAGTTCCCAGGAGAAGGTTGTGCTGGGTCGGGCCTCCCCAGCGGGGCACAGCCTCCCACCCGGAGCAACAGCGAAGCACTCAAATAACATAGAATTCCATCATATTTTAAAATAAGCTTTATTTAGTTTTTTTTTTTAATATTTTATACTTGCATCCATGCCTTGGAGAACCTTTCCCACGGGAAAGCTGGTTTTCATCTAATGGAGCCCATAACTCATTTGCTATTTGACGTAGTTCTCTTGAATAAATCATCCTTAGTAACTCTTAGAATTATCTCCTAATTTACAAAAAACTGAAATGAAAAGGAACTACTAAATCATTACCAGGAGTTCGCAATCTGATGTTCTCGTAAGTAAAGGGGAAAAGCCGTAAAAATCAACAATAACAAAAAATAATCATGGGGAAATATTCTCTAAAATCTCTATGATGCCGGCTCCAGCCGCTCTCCCGCCCACTGGGCTTGGTCAACAGCTTAGCCCACGAGGGCAGCCAGAGCTTAGAGGCACGGTGCCCACCTCTCCCCACGCCTGGCCGGGGTCGGAGGGCAAGGGGAAGCTGACTGGGGGCTTGTTGGTTGGTTTTAGAGACTCTGGACAAAATGCCCCGTCCATTCCAGATGCTCCAGCATTTGAGACCCTCCCTGCTGCTTTCTAAGAGCTGAGACGTGACTGTTAGCAGAAGCGCCACGACGTGGTCTGCACAGTGACCGAGCTGTTAGTCATGAAGGTGGAGGGCCAGGGGCCAGGGCAAGGGAGAGGAGAGGTGGACTTCCAGCGCGGGGTGGGCCTGGCTGCAAGCGCCCATCTTCCCCGCCCCCCCTGTTGGAACCCACAGCGGGGTCCCCTTGGCTGGTGACACCTCGCTGTGGCCAGTGCTAGTCCCCAGACAGGTGGGTGCTCCTGCCAGCCCTCCACTCCTGGGAGGGGGGGTCAGGCCAGCCGGAGACTGAGTCTTAGGAATCCCCAGAGATCCTAAGTGTGGCTGCAGGGACCAACAGGAAAGGGCAGGGCAGAGGGCTCAGGGCTGGACACCATGTCCCCGATAGCCCTCCCTGAGGACAAGGGTCCCCTCCGCCCTCCACCTGCCTGGTCTATAAAGTCAGGGTGAGAGACAGCCTGGGAGGAGCAGGTGCTGCAGGGGCCCCGCGGGGAACCCACGCAGGCCCAGGGTCCCTTTGGTTGACCCTGGGGACGAGCCCCGGGCTGTCTGTCTGTGGCTTCACCCTCTCTCAAAAGACAGGCCCAAGAGAAGGGGATGGTGACAGCTCACGGAGGCCGGGTTCTGTACTCAGATACACACAGAGGGGAGGCTGAGGAGGAGGTGGGAGGCGGCCCAGGCCCTGCATGCAGCCAGGAGAGGGGGGAGACAGAGGAGGAATAGCAAGCTGGAACCGGGTGGTCCTGGGTCCAGCCACCTACACCCTACCTGGACCGGCTGGCGGCTTGGCAGCAGCATGAACAGAGAACAGACAAGTCACAGAGACCCCCGCCCGCCCCGCCCCGTGGAAAAATATACACCCCAACATTTACGTAATAATTTAGATAGAATATTCTGTCTTCTGCATTTGTGCAAATAAATTAAACGAAACCATTTCCTCTTCTTTTTCTTTTTTTTCCATAAAGAAAGAAACGCAACGCAATTTAAAAACAGGCAGGCCATTAAAAAGGGCCCGCTGGACCCCCCCGAGCCCCTGGCCAAGGCGCCCTGGCCGGCGGGCTGGTGAGCCTTGACGGAGAGCGACCTTACCCTGACGACGATGGCATTCTGTGGCTAAAGTGACTTGGGCGCACCCCGAGGACAGGGTCTGGTCCTGCACATGGACACGGGGGTCAGGGGAGGGGACAAGGACACAGACCACACCCTCGGGGAGACGGGCTCCGGAGCGGTGGTTAGGACAGCGACATGTACAAGCACGGAGTGCACAATAGTCGTGTTATTTACAAATACATAGCAATCCTTCAAGTTTTCAAGTTTCATTAAAAAGGAGCGGAGGAGAAAGGGAGGGAAACCCACGAACCGAAGGGAAAAAAATAAAACGAAAGAACAAACCAACATGGAAAAAAAAAAAAACAACAAAAACAGATTAACAAACACGACGGCCTCGCTCCGGAGACGACAGTTGACAGGGTCACACACGGTTTGCGGTATGTACATCAATTACAGAGGCGCGGGAGGCCCGGCCGCACGCAGCCCCGCGCTGCGCACTGCGCCCGCGGCGCACCCCCCGCCCGCACGTCCACACGCACAGACAGCCCGGCGCCCGGCGGGCATCACCAGTCCGCGTCCTCCTCTATGTAATAATCAGGGGCGGTACCATCAAAGAGGCCGGGGTCGAGGGACTTCCGCTGCTTCCCTCGGGCGAAGACGCGCGAGATGGAGCCGAATCCCATCTTCTCTTTCTTCTTTTTCCGTTTTTGGTCTTCAAGATCCTCTAGTGACTGGGGGACGGGGGAGAAGAGCAGAGAGAAGCTTAGCCCGTGGGCACTGCTCAGGCCAGCGGGCAGGGTCGGGGGCAGGGACTGGACAAGGGCAGGTCAGAAGCTGGGCTTGGGGACCAGAAGGACAGTGCCGGCGCGTCACCCACTGAGCAAGCTCGGGCCTTTTGGAACCTCCTGGGGACAATATGACCCACCCAGGATGGTCTCCAGGGCACCCCTAAAGCGAGGACGGTTGGTTGTTTTGTTCTTTAAATTAAATCTGCCCACGGCCCCCAGGCGTGGAAAGCTGGGCCCCTGCCCAGGTCAGTCCGGGGGCCTGGGAGCCAGAGCTGCTGTGCCCGGGGCCCCCTGTGTACGTGGAAGGGGGCGGGAGGTTCTGGGAGACTCGGAGCAAACCTGCCCCGGAGTGGGCCAGGCAGCCACCGGCACCCAAGAGCCCTGGACAGGAAGCAGGACTGGCCGCTGGGAACAGGGAGGGGCTGGGCTAAAGGCGGGTCCTAATTTGTCCCTCCCTTTGGAACCCTGGGGGGCACCCAGCCCCTCTGAGCCCAGTTTCCTGTCTCTGATGTGGGGATGGCCACAGGGGTGGCGACCCTCCTAGCGGGGACTGCAGGGCAGGGGGTGGGTCAGCAGGAGGTCTGCAGACGGCCAAGGGCAAAGACGTGTGGTGGCACGTCCACAAACAGGCCGGTGGGGACCGGGCTCCCAGAACACTTCAGAGCGCCTTGGGGTCCAGACCCCGCCTCCCGCCAAGGAACCTGCATTTGAACCGCTTTCCCTAGAGGACCCCAGTGCAGATGGGCAAAGACCAGCACACGGGGGCCACAGGACCAGAGAGGTGACCTGGAGGCCCCTGCTGACCCCCAAATTCAGACCATTTTCCTTGTAGCCTGTTCCCCTCTGATGACACGTTGACACTAAAAATGGATCAAGTTTCTAGCAGCACAGGGCCCCCAAACCCAGGGGAAGGTGCTGGCCAGGGCAGCAGGACACAGGGACGCTGGGTGCATAGTAGGTCTGAAGGTCGGGGGGGGGGGCACAGCAGAGGCGGTCCAGGTGCCGGCCCTCGTGAGACTCAGAGTGACTCCGTTTTGGAAGCCCCAGAATGGCCACAGGGACGATGGGCAGCCCGGGGAGGGAGGGGTGAGGTCAGGAGGGGATGTGGGGCACGCGGTGCCGGGAAGCCACGCCTACCTGTACAATAGGGTTGTGCAGGTTCTTCTGAACTGGGCCGGGACTGTCGCCCTGCAGCCAAAGGAGAAGAGGAGGATGAACTGGCAGGTTCAGATGACACACGGGGGCACAGGTGGCCCGTGGGGCCTTCCGTGGAAGAAGCCACCCCAGGGGCCACCTTGCCTCTGGAGTGGGGTGCCTGCCCCCACCTCCTGAAGCTGACGTTCCCAGATGGCTCACTGACGGGGCCCAGCGTTCACCAAGTTGTGGACTGGGCAGAGGTCCTGGCCGGAGACCCTCTGTGCTCCCCAACTCTGGCCTCCTCCACCCCCAGCACCCTCTGACCAGCAAATCAGCTGCTCAAGGGCGTCTGGGTCCCCGGCCTGGCTGGTCCACTGTGTTTGAACCGGAGGTTGGTCCTACTGGGTGGTTTTCATAGAGAAACCTACTGTTGTAGGAAAGGCGTGATAACGAAGAATCGGGGGACAGACACCGACTCGGGAGACTAGGTCGCTGCCAGCTTCCCCCAGACAGGAGTCTGTTATTTTGCAGAGGGGTGGGCGGGACTTGGCCCAGTCTACAGAATCAAGGAAAGGCCCCGACAGTCCAGCGTCACGGGCCCGATGACCGGCAGAGCTACACCTCCTACCAGGGACGGTCTGAGTCCCCCTGGTCCAGGGCTCCCGGGGGGGCAACCGCACACCTGGCCCCGAGCCTGGGCCCCTGAACTCTACCCATGGGTCTGAGCTCCTCCTTGTTCCTAGGGAAGGGCAGGGGGACATTTCCACTGTCACCAGCCTCGCTCCAGGTGTGTGTGGGGGGGGAGGGGACTTGTCACAGTCTGGATGTGCGAAAGCCTCTGCCGCATCGCAGACCCTCGCTGCCCTGCTGGGCCAGCAGATCATGTGCCCGGCCACGTCACTACGCGGGTCTTGACTTCGGCCATGAGGCCCACGAAGGAACAAGCGAGTGTCACTTGGGCCAGCGTCCATCAGCCTCCTCCAGGCTCTCGGTGCCGAGTCCCTGCCTCTGCTCTAAGTCAGTGGCCAGAGTGTGAGAGGACGAGGCGCTCCTTGGTCCTGTCTGCATCCACGGCGTGTCAGGAGGCCTCAGAGAGCCCTCGGGGAGGGGACGTCCCACAGTGCTTCTGCTGTCCAGTCCCCCTGGGTCCACCAGGAGAATTTTAAATACGGCCGTGGGAAGGTGCTGGCATGCAGGAGGTGACAGATGCTACGGGGTGGACCTGTGTGTGAGGACGGGGCTCTGGCCCCAGGCCTGGCAGCCCAGGGGCCACAGATGGACGTCACAGGGCCCCGAGTGCCTGCTGTCTTTGCCTTGATTCTGTCACTCAAGACAGCCTTTGTCACCAGGATTCTTTTCTGGGGACAAGAGGAGAACACATCCCAGCCCCACGCCCTGCCGCACGTGCTGCCCCGGCCCTGTCTCCAGGCCCAGCCAGCTTCGTTTCAGCTCCTGCTGTTTCTGAACGTGCTTTTCATTGCTGTTGTGGACGGGCAGCCTCCGTCCACCAGGACCACGCTCACGGGGGGAAGTCACTGGTTGCCATAAAGGACTTCCAACCACACCGCCTGCGCTTGCTTCTGAGCTCGATGGCCTCTCGGGCCAAGCTCCAGCCCCAGGGGACGGTCCCACCGTCAGCGGGCAGCGCCTCGTCTGTTGCCCGACGTGCCCGCCTCCTCTCCTCCTTGTGTTTTGTGGGTTAACAAAGCAGGTTTTGAAGAAGGCTTCCTGTGCATCTGGAGACTTCTCCCCATGGTCTCCGTCTTCGGGACAGGGAGGGGGCTTTCTGGGTCACAGACGTGTGAAGGAACCAAAATCCCCAGGGGTCTCCGCACCCTGACCCCCTGCGACGTGTTAGGGCCCCAGTGTGGCTTCTGGACATCCTAAGATGGCAGACCCCTCCGTCCACTCCTTCAGGCTCGGGAAAGTGCTGGGCCGGGCTGTGGTTCAAGTGTGCCCTCCAGGGTTCACCTGTCAGAAGCTTGGTCCCCAGTGTGGCCATGCGTGAGGTTGTGGCACCTTTAAGAGGTGGAGCCTAGTGAGAGTCTGTCTGTCTGAGCAAGACTGTCCCCTCCCTGCTATGGCTTCCTGCCTCATGACCCCGAGACCCTGGTCTCCCTCTTGCATGCGCTCCTGCCCACGATGCCATCCGCCATGATGTGATACAGATGGAGGAGCCGGAGGGGGGCTCCTTGCCAAAGCTGGCCCCAAGCTATGTGGATTTTCAAGCCTCCAAAACTGTGAGCCAAATCAACCTCTTTTCTTTATAAGTAACCCAGCCTCGGGTATTTTGTTATAGTCACAGAGAGCAGACCATCCCAGAGCCCATATGCCTGCCCCACCATCAAGAGATGGTTAGGGACTTGGGCCCAGGATCCCCCTCCAGAGGCAATACATGCTCAAACTATGAGAGGTTCAAAAACAAAAGCACCTAAATAGTCTGGCTCCATTCCTGGATGAAGGATGGTGCTCAGGGGAGCCGGGGTTCTGCAGAGCAAGACCTGGGAGGGAAGCCCTGGCCCCCGCGGGCCTACCCCGACGGCCCACCGCGAGGAATGCAGCTGCGCAGACCCTGCGACCCGGCCTGCCTTCCTCGGGGTTTTCCTCACCCTCCCGGACACCAGGAGCCAACGGGCCTCCTTCTGTCTCCCCACATCCACCACCGCGCCGCAGAGCTCCCTGCGGGGACGAGAGGAAACAGCGCTGTCCCCGCCCCTCCCGCGCGGGCAGGGCCCAGGCGCCCCGGTCCCCCCGGCGGCTGGCCTTACGTTGCAGAGGGAGTGCGTCCGGTGTCGCGGGGAGTTGATGTCGCTGGGCGTGGACGACCGGTCACCTTCCGCCGCCGACGCGTCCGAGATGACGGAAGGCTGCCGCGAGTGGCAGGGGCTCACCCTGACCGCTGGAAAGGAGGGCAGCTGTGAGTGGGCGCCGAGGCCAGGAAGGTGGGGTCTCGC